ACAGCAGCTGGCGCTGGCCAACGCTGAAGTTCGCGCCGCCCTCCTCCACGCGGCTTTGCAGCCCGTCCGCCTCTTCCGCGAGACGCTCGTGCATGCCGACGTGCCGCAGCGCATCCCACACCTGCGCGTCGCCGCACGCGCGGAACGGGTCGAGGTTGCTGCGGATCGTGCCGTTGAAGAGCAGCGGGTCCTGCGGGATCATTGAGAAGCGCTGCCGAAGCTCGCGCAGCCCGTACTCGCGGATCGGTGTGCCGGAGATGAGAATGTCGCCGCTCTCGATGTCCACCAGGCGCAGAAAGGTCAGCAGCAGCGATGACTTGCCGCTGCCGGTGCGGCCAACAATGCCAACCTTCTGGCCAGGAGTAATCGTGAAGCTGACACCGCGCAGGACGTACGGCAGGCCGACGCGGTACCGCATCGTCACGTCGCGGAACGTCACGGAGCCCGCCACCACGCCACCGGCAGCAAAGAGCGACGACGCCGCACCGTCACCGTTGCTGTTGTTGTCCCCCGCAAGGGTCACTGACACCGGCACGGCAACCGTCGTAGCGTCATTCGTATTAGAATTATTATTGTTGTTGTTGATATGCGGCGACGACGCAGCTCCTCGCGTCTCCTCCTTCTCTTGCTTCTCCTGCTCCTTGATGGCGGCGTCAATGTCGTCCAGAAGATCCTCGTGCTCGATGTTCGACGTGTAGTGCAGCACCCGCTCGACGCAGTTCATGTCCGCCTCCACCGCCGCTGCCTGGTTCACGACGTACTTGAGCAGCGTGTTGATGTCCATCGCCTTTGTGAGGCTCAGCGCGAGCAGCCCGACGTCGGCGCTGGCGAAGCGCAGCATGACGAGCAGCACGCCGAGCAGCGCGACCGCCGTCAGCACGACATTGCTCAGCAGCTCGATGCGCACCGCGAGCCAGCAGTTGCAGACGGTCTGCATGTACGAGCACGCATAGACGGTGTCGATGCGCTGCAGCGCCTCGGCCATGACGGCGTTGGCCTTGCTGTACGCGGCGATCGTCCAGCGGCCGGCGAGCGTCTCACCGAGAATGGCGAAGACCGGCGAGTTGGCGCGGTTCGCGACGCGCCGCATCTCGCGGTTGGCGCTGTTGTAGAAGAGCATCAGCCGGTAGTACACCCCCGCGCACGGCAGCAGGATGAGCAGCACGAAGTACTGCGACGCCGCCATGACGGCGATCGCCGACAGCACCGAGAGGACGCACTGCACGAAGAACGTCATGCTGTACTGCAGGTCGCTGTCGATGTTGTTCATGTCCTTCGAGAAGCGGTTCAGCACGCGGCCCAGCGGCGTCGTGTCGAAGAACGACATGGGCGCCACCGCGACGGAGCGCAGCAGCTGCGTGTGCAGGCGCAGCGACCCGGCGCGCAGCGTGGCGTACGCGGTGGTGTTGCGCAGCGGCGAGCACAGCGCCCCGGCGGCGACGAGGCCGATGTACACCAGCAGGTACGTGTTCGGCGTCAGAGCAAAGCGCTTCACCGACCAGAAGGACAGCCACAGCGACGGTGCAACGAGCGCGCACTCCGTCACGGCGAAGAGCAGCAGCACCAGCGTACACACGGTGAGGCCGCCACAGGCGGCGCAGTACCTCAGGTACGTCGACAGCGGCACCGCCCCCGTGGCCTTCTCCTCGTCCGTCATCAGCTTGCCGTCACTTGGCTTGACCAGTTCCTTTTCGTCATCGGCGTCCAGGAAGTCGTTCTTGTTGTCGGTGCTGATGGCAGTGTTGTTGCTGCTCTTGTTGTCGGTACCGTCATGCACCTCAGCCTCGGCCGCCGCGGGCTTCTCCCTTTCAGCAGAACCCACACCATCACCCTCCGCACCACTTACTGCAGCTGTAGCTGCTGCAGCGACATACTCTTTGTACTCCTCGTAGTTGCCCGTAAAGGCGACGGTGCCGCCCCCCTGCAGCACAACGATTTGGTCGGCGTGGCGCAGCACGTGCAGCTGGTGCGTGGCCAGCACCCGTGTCTTGCCGCGCAGCTCGCCGAGGATGCACTCATGCATCACCCGCTCCCCGACATGTGCGTCAAGTGCGGAGAGCGGGTCATCCAGCAGGTACAGATCACGCCCCGGCGCGTACACTGCACGTGCGAGGCTCACGCGCGCCTTTTGCCCGCCGCTGAGGTTAATGCCCTTCTCGCCGATCTCCGTCTCCAGACCGTTGGCGAGTAGCTGCAGGTCCGCATCCAGCTGCGTACAGCGCAGTGCGCGGCGGAAGCGCTGCTCGTCCATGTCGCTGAAAAAGAGAATATTGGCCTTGAGTGTGGCGTTCATGATCCAAGCCTGCTGTGGCACGTATGCGATGCCGCCGGCAACACGCATGGCGCCGGCCGTCACCTCATGGCTGTGCAGCAGCGACTCGAGCAGCGTTGACTTGCCGCTGCCGGTGTCGCCCACCACGCACGTGAGTTTGCCTCGCGGAATGCGCAGCGTCACGTCATGCAGCAGTTCCTTCCGTTGCATCTCGTAGTACTCCGTGGCACCCGCGGAGTCCGATGGCTTATTCTCCTGTTTTCCCCCCTCTTGCTGCTGCTGTTGTTGTTGTTGTTTCTTATTTTTCTTTTCCGCAGCTCGCCGCTCCCGCGCACACGGCGGGAGTTTCTGTGGCGCATACGTTGAGATGGTCGCGTGCGAGAACTCCGCCGCCGCCATCATGGCACCATCCACCAGCGCCTCCTCCTCAGCCTCTTCTGTCTTGCTCTGCTGCTGCTCCAGCAGCAACTCCTTCAGCCCGGAGTCGGCGTCCTCGCACTCCAGGAACTTCGAGATGCGGCGCATGGACACGATGAAGCGTGCGACGCTCGACATCGAGACAGGAATCATGACGAACGGCATCTGCATAATGTCCAGCAGTGTGAGGGTGGGGAACACGATGGTCGGCGTCAGCTCGTGCCCGCCCGCGTGGTACAGCACGAAGACCACCGCAACAACGGCGGCGGGGATCGCATTTGTGAGGAACGCCACGGCGACGTACAGAAGCTGCGACGTGCGTAGCGCTGCGAGCTCCACGCGCCGCTTCTCCTCGATGCTTCGAATGAACGACGGCTCCCACGACATGAATTTCGCCACGCGCACGCCGGAAAAGAACTCGTTGGTCGCCTTGAGCCGCGCATCAGTGGCGCGCGAGAGCGTCGCGAACACGGCGAAGTATCGCCGCATCAGGTACCCCTGCAGTGGCATGAAGAGGATCAGCACGCCGAAGCCGGCGAAAGCGCACCAGCCGACAAGGCGATACAGCAGCACGAGCGCGACGACGAGCTGCAACGGGGCGCCGATGGCGACGGGCAGCAGCTGCGGCAGGCTGCGCGCGCTATCCATGTCGCTGCTGATCATGTTGACGATTCGGCCGACGCTCATCTCCGGTTGCGCTAGCGCCGTGCGGGAGATGGTGGCGCACTTCTCGAAGAGAACGCCCTGCAGCGCATTCTGGAACATGTAGCCGCCGCGCCAGCTGAGCTGTGTCAGCTTGTTTCCCACAGCACTCTGCACGAGCGAGAGCAGTGCAAAGGCCATGACGAGCAGCAGCCCGTCGCGCCAGCCCGGGT